TCACTTTCATTTTCTGGCTTAGTACAAACTAATTACTTTGTAATTTAAAAAATTATCTCTGCTCTCATCGTGAAGAAAAAAAAAGCATATTAAGATTTGCATATGTTTCTTTCCCCAAAGCATACCCTCTTCTATAAATCCAAATCCTAGACTTAGAATTGGTGACATGTTGTTCATATATATCAGCTAAAAGTGTTTAAAAAGTACACAGAAAATGTAGAAAATGTAGAAAAACAAAAGGTCAGCTCCATAAAGGAATAACCAAATTCCTTCTTAGGTGATTAAATACCACTGAGGTCAGGGGCTTGGGCATCAAAGTATCTTTGTAGATCGATTTAGGCTGGCCATGCTGTTAGACTTGACTGTTGCACAGAACCGTCTGCAAGAAGTAGTCACTAAATTTTAGGAGAAAATAACTGATGTCATGGCTTACATTGAAGTCTTTATTTATGACTAATTCAGATAAAGCTTTCCAATGCTTTTTTTTTTTTTTTTTTTTTTTTTCTAGGACATTAAGGATTAATTCACAGGCAGGCTTAGGGAACAGGGCACAGTAAGCCAAGAGATTTGACTGTTGGCAGTAACAGCTGTGCCACAAACTAGTTATACTGCTTGCTAGCCAGTTTGAAGATCTGGGTGAACCACGTTAATGGAAAGGTTAAAGAACACACTGTTTTTCAGTGTAAGGAAATATCTAGTCCAATTACTGCATTCTCATGTAACCCCCCCCTTGCAGAAAACTTGTAGGCAGTTGTATTGAGCCGTTTAAAGCCTTGGGGACATCTTAGCTTCAAGTGAACCATGGTGTAGGAAAAATAATGTGAAAAGAACGACTAGGCAAAACGAGGATGACAAAAGACATGCTTTACCGCCATGCCTCCATTATTCAGAGGCAGAGGTCTCACCTATCAAATAGGACATATTACTTATAACGTGGAGAATGTAACATGAACTTATTTTACAGAAGACACAAGATGCAGACTCTCCCCCGTAATGTGTACAATCTAAAGAATTAATCAAGCTTCCACATTTTTAGAAGTAGATTAGATTTAAACTTGAAATCACCTAACACCAGCCTTTCATATGACAAAACCTCTGACTTCCCTCTGCCCAGCCCACTCCCTCAACTTTCCTGCAAAATCCCAGTGCCCGTGAGAAGGTGGTGGTGCCCTCCCTTTAACCCAGGAAAACAGTGCAGGGCAGTAGTCTGGGTAAAATCAGCCTCTGCCGATCGACTCTCATTCTGTCCTAAAGGAATCATCAAACACAGTAACGGCAATACTGGCTCAGCGATGAAATTCACAGCGTTAGCACCTATGAGAAACAGGTCAAGACCTCCAAATTTATTTGGCATTTACCAAGAAAAGCCACTCAATTACTATTCATTCATGTTGCATTTGAGACAGTGACCTCAAGATCTAAGGAACATAGAAATTATGCTTTGCTTTGCTGCCACAATGTTTTGGCATTTGGAATGCTGTCTTGATTTAAATGTCATCTGCAATGTGGGTCAAGTGTGAACAAAAGATGCATTCAGGAACTACTTTATGACTTGTGTGCCTCTACTCCTGATATTGCCTGTTGGCAGAAGATGAAAAGCTGAGCTCCCAAAGCTACTAAGAGTAGCCATTTGTCTGGAAAAGGAGATTAACGCCCACTCTCATTCTTCTTGTTCCTCTTAAGTTAATTTAAAAATTATAACAATTCGATGCAAATTAATCAGTGAAGCAGAAAACAAATGCCATCAACTTCAAGTGGGGTTATACAGCAAAGATCTACTTTTAGACTCTCTAGGGAGAGGGAACATTTCATTAGTCCTCCCTAGTGCATTGTTTAACAAAACTTTGTATGCTTTTCCTCTCAAAATAGGCTTCTGGATACCATGAGGTACTGACTAGGAAGAGTGGTCCAACCTTCACACCAGCCGAGAAAGGGAAGCTGCAAGAGCTCTGAACACATCCTGGCTACACATCCAAAAGCTGAATCGCAGTAACTATCAAAATGTTTGATGGAAATGAGATGTGCTGTGGGCTGCTTGAATCCTCCTGTCTTTCATAAAAGATATCACAAGGACCGTACCTTCAACAACACACTGTAATAGCTGACGCTAGCTGGAAATCTGAAATGAAAACCTATTAACTACTTGTTACAGCTGTGCAAACCCAATGAGTTTAATTTCTTTCATTTTTCTGACTTCTCTGAAGCTGGCTGGATAACACTACAAGCAGAATCTGGTTTATTTTCTTTAAACACTTAAACTTATTTCCATTCTGGCCTTCAAAGCTCCCCAAGGTACAATTTGATCTGCTAAAAAAAAAAGCATCAGCTTTTTTCTTTATTGCTTATTCATGTTTCCCACTTTGCCGTAATTCAGCATGGTAAACAAACAGCCTCTCTCTTATGTGCTGGTTTGAGTTCCAATTTTGGCAGTTTTGTAAACTGAAGTTTTACACTCCCACCGTAGTTAGGATAACTTCATTCCCTAATGGATACTTAACACATCTAATTACTCTATTTTTGAGCTGCAAGCGCTGTTGAAAAATGCCTCTGTTCTTTCATTTCAGGAGCTTTCCAGCTGCAACGTTTTCTACTGAATAAAACATTTTCAGTGACTTTCCCATAAATAATAAAGCACAGAGACCAATGTAGTCCCAACTGTACATAATAACCTCAGAATTCCACTGGGGGTTTTCTAGTGACATCATAATAAACTGCAAGAAAAAGCTGAAGATGTATGTAAATTACAGTTTGAGTATATTTTATTCTTTTTTACACATGATAAGAAAACTCAGAAATTTGTCACAGTAATTTGAACATTTTTCTGGACTACTTCAAAACTAGAAGGGACATAATTTCAAAGCAAGATGCAAAGGCATATTTCATATTTGTAAGGACAAACTGAATGACTGAATACATCATTATTATTATTTATTTTGCATGTACAAATTCCCATGTTGTTTCTTAACCCTCCTTAGTCAAATGTAATGATTTTTAAAGTTAAAAAAAAAAAAATCAACCTCCCTCAAAACCTCAAGATCAATGCTGACAAACATTGATGCAGAATATCATTTTACTCCCCTATAAATTGTGAAGGGATTATAACTGAGACTACCAAGTCAAACAGTTGGGTTGTGTCAAAATACCTCTGCAGTACTCCGTGATCTCAAAATCTCTTATTCAGATCTCAAAAGAAAATGATAACTCGATTTAACTGCTAATACAACTGTATCAGGGGAATGATCTGCTCATCTGAATTTAGTCTGCTTTACATATCTCTGTCTTAGAGTGCTTAGCCCTCTAAGAGATGAAAGTGTTGAGGCTGTTAGCCCAGAAAGGAAGGATAACAACCGTAGACACTTAATTTCCAATTGGGAATGAATAAGGACCAGTAATGCCTTGGCAATTTGGCTCCGGGACACCAACTTCTCCCTCTGTCCCACCTCACCCAAGGAGCAGGGAGAAAGAGAAAGGTTTTATGAAGTGCCAGAGGATGCTCGTGATGGAGAAAGCCAGGAGATAACCATGCACTCTGAGCGAGGGGCTGCTTCTGCTCCTGCGTCTGAGCTTTGGCTTCTGATTACAAATAAAACTTGGCTGCTATTGCAGATGGTTACTTGTTTATGTGCTGTTAAAGCCTAGAGTGGTTTTAGCGTGTAGAAAACCCTCACCGAGAGGAAAAGGGCCTTAGTGAGACCATGGGGACTGGCTGGCATGCAGTGACGCTTGAAATTCACAGGTGGTCAGGGCTCCCCTGCCCAGTCCACACTTGTGGCTCACAGGGTGCATTTCGAAGAGATTTGGAAAGCAGCTGAACCAGAGGCAGCAAGACCTTAGGTGCTGATACACAGACTCAAGAACTGGAGTGAGAAAAGAGAATTTTTCCTAAGGTCAGCATTGAGCCTGACTTGAAGGTCAGGTTCTTACCTCTCTGGAGGAAGAAATACAGCAGAGCGTGCCTCTCTTCTTTGAAGTCACTCTATCATTTTTGCAAAGAAGGATTTATGGGAAAGGCTAACTTTGTCACTCTCATATACTTTCACGGACTTGTAGCCTCAAGATTAAAAACCTGCCACAGAAAAATGACCAGCTGCCCCTCAGAGTGCTTGGCTAGCTGGTGCTTCACTGTATTTTCTAGTCTCTGCTTTGACCCAAGAGGAAGGATTTGAGGCTGGGGGAGGTCACTGGAGCACTGGGCATGAGGATAAGTCAGCATGCAGCTTGCTGAAGGAGAAGGGACTGGAGAACAAAAGGGCAGAGAGAGAGGGTCGGAGACCTAGAAAGGTTCCTGTGGTACGGAGAGATGAGATGATCCGGAAAAAAGGACTGGAAGGTGTGACAGAAAAACAGTTTGCCATAAAACAAACAGGAGAAGGCAAGGACATTCATGTTAGCGAGGCATGAAGCAAAAGAACCAACAGACAGAAAAAAGAGAACAATGTGATCTGTTCATGTAGTAAGACAGCACCTGGGAGCAGAAGGAGCAAAGATGACTAGTAAGTGAATTTTTATTGTTTGTTGCTATAGACACATCTTTGCCTCGGCAAGAAGAGGTGAATTCAGCTTTGATCTCCCCATACATTGAAGAAGCATTGAGCTCCTCCTGATCAAAGTGTCGGATCACAAGTATCGTGGGAGGCATTTGAATGGAAAGCATAGCCTGAAAGCACACAGCAACAATTTATACTTTCTCATTTCAAATACTGATACACTGGTTATGTCAAACTCAATTGCTTCTTTCAAAATATGTATGTATGAACGCATATGTATGTATATGTGCTACAGCAGAGTATCTGCCAGAGGCCAACAATTCTGAACCTAAAGACAAAGTGTCTCCAGGGAAACTGGTAGTCTATGGTACACTGTTATTTTTTCAGCTTCCAAACAACTTCTCAGGATGATAAAAATTTATTCCTTTTCTCACATTTAAGTAGAACACTCATACCCCTCTACATGCATATATATGTTCGCCCTCCTTTCCCTCAATTCTTTTGTCAACTTACTGGATGGAGTTCTCAATGCGTGTGATGGTGAGGAAAGCTGCTAGGTTTGCTGTGTAGGAGGAGATGACAATCAAAGCAAAAAGCCACCAAGCTCCCATCATCAGTCGGGTTGCCAGGGTTGTGTATGGAACCTCTCCTCCTGTGGGGAAGAAGGAAAAGCAAGAGTTTTCATTTGGCAGAAGGAACCCCAGATCTACATTGCTCACGCATTGCTCAGGAGAACTAGGCCCCAAGGTCAACAGGGTAAAGCAGTTTACTAAAGCAAAGTGCCTCAGTAAACTGAGCGACAGCTTACACACTTTCTACACAATAAGAAGTACTGAAGGAAGCCCACGCTGTCAGCCGTCACTACTGTATCTAATCTCTTTTACTATTGTGCCTTTAATTGCAATTCATCTGCCAGTCCTGTCCAGTAATGGAAATAAAAGACTTCAAGATCTCAGAACAAAAACAGCAGACGTAAATTCTTACAATGTTCTTTCCTTAGAGATCTTATCTACAAAACCTTAATTAAGTTTTTCCTTGCATTCTTGAGAACATAAAGTTAAAAAAACCCCATCAAAACACAATTACTTTTCACAGTTCTGTAGGCAGGCAGATTCTCGGGAGAACCATATGTATGTGTACAACGTGCTGTAAGTGAACTTGGACATGTAAAAAAAAAAAAGTAAAAAATCATATGTGTTGAAGAAGAATGCAAAATTCTTTTGTATTCCCATAGTTGCTTTCCTTTAAAATCCAACTGTCATGTAAACAAAACGTCAGCAGCCATTAAACCTGCCAGAGTGAGCTGCACATCACTGCTTGTGTGACCAGAGCCCAGACTAGCGAGCCATGAAAAGCATTATTTTTCATAAAATAGCTGCCCCCAAAACATACTAGTTTGGAGTCTTTGAAAGAGCTCTTTCAGTTAAAAACATATGAATCACAGATACTTAGAAAAAGGAAAATTCATTGTTTTAAAAATGCCCATTTTGTCTGCAGTATAAGTTTTGTCACAGCTACAAGTAACCGGGGGGGACAGATGAATGCAGCAAACAGCACAGACAACTGCTCAAGACATTCACCCTTCTCCTCTCCCCCTATACTCAGCAATTTGAAAAACTGACATTATTTTTGAGGTAGCTTTCTCAGATGTAAAATCTCATGATGGAACAATATCTGAGATTTACAAAAGCATTTACAATCATCTGTAAATATCTTGTGCTGGAACTTCACTTACTTAAAAACTCCTTAATGTTTCTGCAGTAAGTAGGTTTAAAGGGAATGCAAATTACAATTACTCCTATTTGAATTATAAAAAAAATTTCATTATATACACAAACTAGATATTTAATCAATGCTTGGATATGAACTTTACTGTTTTGTTCAAGGTTTGTCCTAGCTATACAAAGCATTGGGAACTCTGCATCACCATACAGGAAACAAACTTGAAGCTTTTTTCCTACTTCAGTACTGTGGAATTGTACCACACATGAAAGAATAACTGACTCCATTTATTTTTGGTTTTGGTATGTAAGTGCTGAAATCCTTTGCCTTTTAAGGATTCCAGTATTGAAAGACAAAATCTATATTAGACCTGCACAGTTGGAAATGAATTTCCTTTTATTTCCAAGATGCCATGTAATTATCCAAAATAAGAATCTACAGATCTGATCGGGAGATATTATTTCAATATAAGGACTTTCGAAGTTGAACATTAACTTCAACATCTGAAGATTTGTTTTTCTCTCCCATATAAATTTTAAATGATTTTTAATAGAATATTTCTACTTTACAACAGTTTTTGCAATGTCTTTGGCATACTTAATTTAAAAATGATTTTTAATGAAATGAAAAGAGCAGACAGCTATATCAATTTATCAGAAAAGGCTGTTTGTCCTTTTAACTTTCAAGTGCCAATCCCTTGCAGACAATCTTCATATTGAATTGAAATGGGTCCAGTGATAGAGAAGAAGCCAATGATCTCCTGGACAGCCTTGCATTTTCATTTTTCAGCTTAATGAGTAAAATTTTAAGTTCTCCCATTTTTTTTTATTGAAATGAACTGTCAGAGTAGAGAGGAGCACTGAAAGTCACACACCTGCCTTCTGGTGTTCAAGCGAGAAGGCTCTGCAACAAGTGACCATGAAAGCCATCACAGACCCCTCAGCCACGGCATTCCCCTACTTTCACACAGTGTAGTTTTCCCATACATTGGTAAAGTTGTCCCTGCTAATCACTGCTACCTTTCCTTTTTTAACACCCATGTTAACAATAGACTTTAAAAAACTCAGTGCTGGTCATCTCAAGTGCTTTTAGTTCACCCAGGTGTCTGTGAAGGTTTATTCCTAATTCAGAGTTGTACCTTGAATATCAGCAGTCAATAAATGAAACTCGAGGGCAAAGCTTGTATCCAAGTACATTCACAATAAATACTTATCAAAATAATTCATCATTCCTGCCCCTACTCTCAAATCTTGGCACTGACGCTTCTTAAACCACCATTTCTAAAGCAGGACTGACACCTCAGCTGCATAGGTGCAGGATTTTTAAGCAGTACAGGGAGGGTAGTCCACCTCTCCCAGTGAAAGAAAGAAAGAAACAAAAATCAAAGGAGATCTTTTACTGCCATAGTATCATTTCTTTGGCATCTATGAGGAGACTTAATGCGATACAGTCTTTTTCTATTGTACTGTTTGCTAAAACACTTCCCGCACCATGACAGCTCACCTCAAGAAACCTCTTCACTCCCTTCCCTAATTTTGTTTCTAGGGATAAAACTTTCCAGAGTTTTCCTTCAGACCAAAATTTTCTCAGTGCAGAAGAGTACCAAGTCATTCAAGAGAGCAACAATCATTGGTTTTCCATTAACATTACCATGAAAAAGAGCTGCAGACCTAACAGTTGCTATTATTGACTGTAAATTAGTATGCAGAAGGGACGTGCACGTAAACCTCCCTGCGCTCTGCTTCCCAATATCTAGTATGAGTTTCAGGTGCATGTCATCTTTATGGATGACAGCATATTCTAGTTATGAGGGGCCATGCACAGGACACACAGCGCGAGGGAGGGGGCAGCTAAGAAGATGAAGTACGTCTTTCCCTGCTATTGCCTTTCATATCATACCAGCAAAGCTTGATAACCCCTAATGGCAAAGGGGGCCACCTGATGCCATGCAAACACACGATGGTGACCAGAGTCAAGTCTGTCCTATCACACCTCATTCCTATAGCAAAATTTATCAATGGGAGTCAACAAGCTGGTTGTGGTTACACTGAAAACACTGCTGTTGTAGCATGCTGAGCAACGCTTACACATACTGAGCTCCACTCGTGAAACAAATGGAAATCAAAGCAGATGCTCAGCAGTCCTGGAGTTGCTTTGCCATCTTCAGAGACAGACCTCAGTTGAACACAGAAGCTGTATTATTCTTCAGACTTGGCCTTTCCAATACACTGGCAGAAGGGTATAATGCGGCACAAAATGCCACTACCTGTAGATCACCTGTGCTGTGGCTACAGCTCCTAGTATAATTCAGATGACACTTTTGATGTGTACTAAAAATCATATAAAACTCTAATCTGCCTTTAAAATTTTCAGATTGCATGTGCAGAAAGGAAAAGATATTTTCCAGAGTAAACTGAACTAGCAAAAAGCAATCTTTGGGGGTTTTCTGAAAGAGCTGAATTACCGTAGAAGTGACAGTGAAAGAAATTACTTTTAGTCCTCCCACTCTCATCTAATGCAGCTCTCCTTCATCAATCCTAGACCAGTTTAATGCTGGTCTACTTCAGATGACAGGCTTAGGCTGCAATTTATCTTACGAATTTTTGTTATTCCCATTTCTTTCCAAGCACTTCAAGCTAAGTATCACAAGGTAAGAAAAATAATGCTTTGCCTTGACCATGCAAATGATATCTTGTATAATTATGACAGACCTAAATATCAGGAATAACCTACTTTAGGACATAAAATGTGAACCTATGCAATTCCCACGCAGATTTCTAATACCATTTAAGTTATTCTCCCTTGTTAGCAGGAAGTTTAAAGGTTTCTTCAAGTCAAAAATTGCAAGAGATTACAGGCAAGAAGGAGGAATGAAATAATGAGAAAAAAGGGCAAAACAGGGAAACTGAGGATCACAGCCTGGTGAGATCTTGGTATTCTATAATTCTGGACTAAATTTGAATAATTCAAATGCATAGACTCTTTCTCCAAACATCTTGTTCTCAAGGATTTGTCATTTGTTTGTTTGAAGAAAAACTACATTCATCTGCATAGTCCAGAACTATGAAAGTGTTTCAGATAGAAATGGAAAAAATACTTTTTTGTGGATGAAAAGAAATGGTGAAATGTTTCTTGGACAAGTTTTAATTGCAGCTGGCATTTCTGAGGTGAAGCCTGGTGGCAGCCATCTTGCTGAAAAGTGATGCAATTTTTGTTACTACTCATCCAGGCAGTAAATGTGCAAAATAAGGTCTCTCTCTGATTTAATATCAATTTAACAACTTCACTGGGAATACACAATATTTATAAATAAAATTAATTTGCTTAACAGCTCAAAAATAATTTTTTTACTATTACTAAAGCAAATAGCTTGGCAGCATAGACCCACAATGCTGAGAAAACTGGGAATTGGTTATTGAGAACAATAATGCCTTTTGAAGATTAATTATTGAAATGTACTTTATAAACAGCTACACACAGAGAGAAAAGCCATAAACCGCCACTATTCTATGTCCTGAATTTGACAACTCTACTAAACGGTGTTTCTGAGGGGAGTTGAGAGCTGGACGGGGAGTCTGCCGTGGCGACTCCCCGTGTGAAGAGAGGCTGGGATGAGAAGGCTCTGCCCTTCTCCTACAGGAAGGAGGCTGCGAGAATCACTTGCCTGCAATTTCTATTTGTGATAACCACAGCTGCCAGGGAAATCCCAAAGACTAGGTGCTTATTATAGACCAAACTCAATTTGTCACCAGTGCTTACTATCAAGGCTACTCTACCATTCTCACTTTAAGAATGTATCATCTCAGTTGCGAATAGCTTTGTCAAATTTCAGTCATTTAATCTGCCATAGTCTCTGCCAGAGGTCTGCAGTGAGCTGAATTTCTGTGTAGGGAGTTTTAGCCAGATTTTATTTTTTTTTTTAATTTTGAG